TTCCTTTTATAAGTTTTCTTCATTGTTAGAATATAAGTTCCTTGAGATCAAGGGCTGTTTTTCTTTTTGCTTGTATTTGTATGCCCAGTGCTTAGCACAGTGACTGCCACATAGTAAGTTCTAGTTGACTTGACTCTTGATAGACTAAGGGACACCAACTTTAGGAATGAAATCTCTTAGGAGTCTAGAGCAGAATTCTGTTTTCATGCAGAAATGGGCTTCTATACTTACATAAAACATCATGTAGGTATAAACATTAAACAGAAAAACAAAACTCTAGTTAAAATATTTAGACATTTCAGTATATTTGAATATTTATTAAATTTATTTAATTTAACAATAAATTTGAATAAATATATTTAAATTGTATTTTATCTTTAAATTTTAATAAATAAAATTTATTTATTTTTCAAAATAAATGTTTTATTAATAATGATATTTAATAAACAAACATATTTTGAATATTTAGGTAAATATATTTTAATAAGTATTTTTAGTATATTCCAATAAATGTTTTTTAAAAGATCCCCATGGTAGGAAGTAGGCTGTCCTTCTCACACTTACAGGTTTTCCCCTATTCTGGGCTGTAGGTCAGTTCCCTTTACCCAAATGTTAGGCTTCACAGAGAGGGAGAATGGGTGGGAGGCTCTCCCAAAGGGGGAGTCAAATGCAAAACTGGAGACCAAACTGTGCTAGGGAATCAGTGTCCACAGAGGAGACTCAGTCTCAGCTTTTGGCTGCCCACTCAGACCCTCTGTTTGACTTGGCTGAAGACCTGGTGGATAACCGAGAGTTACATCTGCCTATGAGACCCATCTCAGGGTAATCCTAGGTCACATTTCAATGGTCTGCCCAGATATATCACATCCTATGGTTAGGAAGTCTTGGAATCATAAAATTCAAGCTTTCCCACTTCAGGGCATCCTTAATGTCATTAATGCGGGCAGTCCCTCCAACAGTGCATATGGTAACCCCTCCAAACCTTCTCATCCTGTGAGACTCTCCCAAAAATCCTCCATGGGGTATTTGCCACCTTAGAGCTTACAGGATTTCATTAGAAGCCTTTCAGCATAATGGATAGGGCACTGGACTTATTAGCAGGAAGACCTGGGTTCTAATCTCACCTAAGACATTTATTAGCTATGTGACTCTGGTCAAGTCACTGAACTTCGCTATACCTCAGTTTCCTCATCTGCAAAACAAGGGAATTGGACTCCAGGGCCCCTGAGGTCACTTATAGTTCTAAATCTATACTCCTATGTCCTTGTCCAGTCTCCCAGCATTTTTGACAAGTATTCATTCAGCCTCTCCTTGAATACCTCAATTGACGAGGCACTCATTCTCTCACAAGACAGCCCATTTCACTTTTGAAAGCTTCTTATTAAAAGGAAGTTCTTCCTAATATCTTTATATCTACTTTCTATAACTTCCCTCCCCCTCATTGGTTCCTATTCTCCCTTCTGAAACCACCCAGAAAAACTCTACCACCTATTCCCCATGACAACCTTTCAGATATTTTTTCTTTTTTAAATTTAATATTTTATTTTTTCCCAATTACATGTGAAAACTATTTTAACATTCTTTTTTCAAATTTTGAGTTCCAAAATTTCTCCCTCCCTCTTCTCTCCCCCTCATTGAAAAAGCAAGCAATTTGACATACATGTGTAATCATGCAAAACACATTTCCATATGTCATGCTGTGAAAGAAAACACAGACCAAAAAAACCTTTCAGATATTTTAAGACAAGATCATATCCCCCTTAAATCTTCTCTGCTCTAAGAGAAACATTCACAGTTACTCCAAATATTCCAGCTGGTGAGAATAAAATAACTCTTTATATCTGGACAGTGATTTTTACAACTTTTACAAAATTTCTGCTCACATCAATTTCAATTATTTCAACCACTCCAAGATTATAGGCAGGGCCAATGTCATCAGCCCATTTTGCAGGTGATATAGAAAATGGGGGCCAAGTTCTTGGGAGCGAGCGCAGCATTAGAATCTAGCTCTCTTGAGTCCAAATCCAGCGTTCCGCATTGCCTTTCAAAGCCGGGTTGGATGTCTGGTAGTCCTGAGGTTTGAGACTGGGGGTCACAGCCAGAAGTGAAGGAATGCAAAGACAGACCTCACTCAGGGGAAGAGGAGTCCAGCTGCTTCAGCTTGTGTTAAGACACCTACCTTTATATGACAGATGCTCTACAAGGAAGATGAGGATGAGACTAAAGATAGAAGATTCTGCCCTGCTCAGAGCCCATCCAGAATCCTATGTCCAGTGCCAAATTCTAGGAAAGTCATGGACAATACATCTTCTGGGCTTCAATGGACAATAATCATCATCGTAATCACTCACATTGATACCCCTCACATACCTGTTAACATATGAATCTTACTTCAGACACAGTTACTGGCTGTGTGACCCTGGGCAAGTCCCTTAACCCCTCTGAGCCTCCATTTCCTCCTCTGTAAAATCAGGATAATAATAGCCTACCTCTCAGGGTTATCATGAGAATTGAAGGAGATCATGTATGAAAAGCACTTTGCAAACCTTGAAGTCCAATTCAGATGTGAATGACCTTATTCCCTGCCCCCAACTCCCTTCTCTGCAACATTCCATTTATTAAATTGTTCCTAAAGAACTAACTACCTCCATAAAGAAGATGATTTTCATGAAAGCAATTAATGACATTAGAAAGGATATCCCTTGGGGCAGCTAGGTGATGCAGTGGATAGAGCTCTGACCTTGGAGTCAGGAGGGCCTGAGTTCAAATTTGGCCTTAGACACATAATACTTACTGGCTATATGACTATGGGCAAGTCACTTAACTTCAGTTGCCACACACACACACACACACACGCACACACACACACACAAGAAAGTATATACCTATAAGGCCACTTCAGTGATCAGGGTCCTCTGCAATAAAAAGCTTCAAGGACAGTAGACTCCTCCCATGGACTGCTAGTTCGGTGGTGTCAAAGTCGAGTAGAAATGAGGACCACTAATCCATACGAAAGTATCTCTATGGCCTACATATTGACTTGGTTTTAAAATATAATATTAGTTGGGAAGCTAACTGGCATAGTGGATAGAATGTCAGGCTTGAAGTCAGAAAGACTCATCTTCCTGAGTTCAAATCTGGCCTCAGACACTAGCTGTGGGACCCTGGGCAAGTCACTTAACCCTGTTGGCCTCAGTTTCCTCATCTGTAAAATGAGCTGAAGAAGGAAATGGCAAACCACTGCAGTATCTTTGCCAAGAAAACCCCAAATGGGGCCACAAAGAGTCAGATATAGCTGAAAAGTGACTAAATGACAACATTATCTATGTTGCATTGCATTTATAATTATTTTGTTGAATAGTTTCCAATTGCATTTTAATCTGGTTTGGGTGACACTCAGAGTGTTGTGGGCTGCACATGGCCTGTGGATGTACATGTGACGCCTCTCTGCTCTAGACTGTTTATGACCTGGTGCCTTGCAAAAGACCATTATTGTCTAGATTAGAATAACCGTAATGACAACTGAAAATTTTAGAATATTGAACAGTATCTTCCATTTCTATGGCCATTATTCTGATGGTCATGGACTGTCAGAACTGTGAAAATTCTATGTACATAAAAAGTTAGTTAGACAGGGCCTTAGGAGATAGATAGATAGATAGATAGATAGATAGATAGATAGATAGATAAATAGAGGCAGAGACACACACAGAGACACAGAAAGAAACATACACACAAATGATTGACAGAGAAGAGAGAGGTGATACAGAGAGAGAGAGAGAGAGACAGAGGGACAGAGACACAGAGAGACAGAGACACAGAGAGACAGAGATATAGAGACAGAGAGATGGCTAGAGATAGAAAGATAGAGGTAGATATAGAGACAGAGATGGAGGGATGGAGATAGACAGATAGATAGACTATTGGCAGATAAGCTTGAAAGACCATTAGGGTGCAGTGTGTTGGGGTTGTTTAGGGACCAAGAGGGCAAAATGTTCAAGCTGGAATGGACCATAGCATCATACTATTTAGAGCTGAAAGAAACCTTGGAGATGATTTAGTCCAACACTCATTTTACAGGTGAGGAAACTGAGGACTGGGGAGGGTAGGTAGCTCACACAAGGCCCACAAAGGGCTGCCAGAGGCAGCCCTCCTGACTCCAGCTCTGTGCTTCTAATTACTCCTTGAGCTGTCTCCCCCCCAGTCCCCAGTCCAAAAAAAGTCCCCAGTGACTCAAAAAGCTCAGGGCTCGCCCGTTTCCAGAATTATACCTCATCAGAGCTAGAGGGACCTTAAAAATCAGTCAGTTAAGGGGGTCTTACTCTGGCATCTGTGAACTTGGGTTTATTTTTTCCATTTTATTACTATATGTCACTATAATGGTTTTATTTTGTAATCTTCATGTATTTTATTTTTTGCATTTAAGAACATGATTTGGATAAGGGGTGGGTTGGCTTCATCAGACCTTCAAAGGAGCCCATAACACAAGAAAGGTTCAGAACTTCTGATTAATTTAATCCCCTAATTTTACAGATGAAAACACCAAGAAGAGATGATTTGCCCAAGGAAATGGTAACAGAGTGGGGGAAAGTATTAATCAGATTCCATCAGGAAAGAAGGTTTCCTGACCCTAGGCTAGTGTGTTGCATGTATTGTAAAACTGAAAATCTTTCATCATCCCTAATTGCAACATAGCCACAGAAGCTGGGCCATATTGGCCAGAAGCCCTGGCCTTCTGTTTACAAGCAGAAGGTTTCCAGAGAGAAAATAACCAACTGCCTTATCAAGACCAGAATGGTTCAGTCACCTGACTCCACTCTAGAGTTCCTGAGATTGGCTAGAGATAGCGATGTGTTTGTCCATTGGCTGAGATGCAACCCATTCCACTCTCCAGTGCCCTCTGTCAACCTCTTCCCTCCTGATCACCCTGAACCTTGGGGACCAGTCTATAAATAACCAGGCTATTTGCAAATCCACTAGCATCTCCCTGAGCAGATACATTGGAAGAACCAGCAATGCAGGTCCTGAATAAATCCTATCCCAGAAACTGCCTGCTCACTGTTATGGACAGGTATTCAGCCACCGTGAGGAACATGGAGCAGGTGGTCATGATTCCCAGCCTCCTGAGGGACATGGTCCTAGAAGACCCCACAAATGAGACAGGTATCCACGATCTCTACAGCTCCTATACCATGCTCAAGTCCATCCGAGTGGATGTGGACAATGGGCTTCTGCCCAAGGAAGAGTGGAAGGCCAAGATCACTGACTCAGATGAGGAGGAAGAGGAAGATGAAGAGAAGAGAGGGGAGGAGCTGGACCTGGAAGCTCAGTTTCATCTTCACTTCTCCAGTCTCCATCACATCCTCACCCATTTGACCCTGAAGGCCAATGAAGTGACAAAGAAATACGAAGAAATAACTGGACTGACGTTGTAGATCCCAGTATCCTGCTCTCTGTTAGGTGAGTCACTGAGCCCAAGCCGAGGGGAGTCTGGATGGAGACCCTCACCTAGGAGGAAGGAAACGTTGTAGGAGCAGAACATGGATAGTAGAATAAGGAGCATCTAGCCCTTGATAGCTTCTTACAAAGCTCTTTCTTTACAATCCCTTTATGAGGTAGGTAGGGCAAATATAACCCTCATTTAATAGATGAGGAAACTGAAACCCAGAGAGGTTTGTCCAAGGTCACAGAAGTAATGTTGTAGAAAGAACCCTGAATTTGGCATTAGGATGCTTAGGTTCAGCTAAGACCTTGGGCAGATCATTTAGCATCTCCAGGCCTCAGTTTCCACATCTGTAACATAAGGGGTTGATGGCGTCTGAGGTCCCTTCCACTTCTAACATTTTGTGGTCCCTCTCCTCTCTTTGTCTCTGTGTATCTTTCTCTCTCTGTCTCTTCTCCTCTCTCTCTCTCTCTCTCTCTCTCTCTTTCTCCTCACCTCTTTGGTGCCTTTATCCCTAAATCTGTTTTACTCCCTGTAACAACAGGAAGTCCTTTACACTGTTCACAATACTTTTGCTGTCATACAATTTCAGAATGTCTGGGAGTTTTAACATTTTGTGTATGACCACTATGACTGTTGATATTATTTTGCAAGGCAACCCTGACTCATCCAAGGTCTCAGCTCTCATTCTGACTTTTCCTGGCAGTTCCAAAGGTGTCTTTGTTTATCTTCATGATTCCAGCACTCCCAGAGGCGGCCTGTATGACGGACAGCAAGCCTTCCTAAGTTAGGCCCAGGGTATCAGCTACCTCCCTAGCCCCTGGACCTTCAGGCATCTTTGTTTTTCTCCACACCACCTCCGCTGACCTTTTTTGCTATTTGCTCAGTTAGCTAGGGTTCTCCAACCCCTGACAGCTCTTTAATACTGGTCCTAACCCTAAGGTGGCCTACAAGATAGGTTTGAAGGCTAAATCTACCCATCAGATATTGCCCTCATTTCCACCTTGGGAAACATCAATGATTTAGAGCCAAATAGGGCTGTTGCTGCCCCTCAACTCATATTATGTGGGATTTTTCTTCTCTGTTCAAATAGCATTGAATTAACAGGTCTTTGTGTAAGGAAACAAAGAATTCAATATCAGAAGTACAAAGATAGGCATTTAAAACCAATATGCAACTGGAGTTTGAGACCATTGGGTTAGCCAACACAGGAGGATTTTCCTGTCTCCAGAGGCACCCCGTAAGTAGATACATGCAGACATGCACACACACATATGCACATGCATACACATGAACACACACACACACACACACACAACTGGGAGTTGACCCAGTAGCCCTCTTCTATGAGTACATTCTCACATGGTTCTATTTCCTATCACTTTATATACAGCGGTTCACAAAATTATGCTTCCTGTGAGCACAGAGCTGTTCATTTCTTCCTGGGTATTCTGCAATTTGTGTGACTAACACCAGGAGGCTTGGGTCTTGTGCTCCGAACAGCTTCTTGTATGGAGTTACAACAGTATTACATATTTATATAACATTTTGGGGGTAGCTGGGTGGCACAGCAGATAGAGCTCTGGGCCTGGAGCCAAGAAGACTCACCCAGCCTCAGACACTTACTAGTTGTGTGACCCTGGGCAAGTCACTTAACTCTGATTGTCTCACCAAAAAGCAAAAAAAAAAAACAAACCAAACATTCAAGAGATAGAATTTCTGGGCAATTTAATCATTTTATTAATAAAATATTATTTATTAATTAATAATAATTTAATCATGTTATTAATAATTTTAATAAAAGAATGGTCATTTGGCCATTTCTCTGTTAGACCAAAGACAATCATGGCAGAGGGCTCACCCCTTATATGCCTATTAGAAGAAGGGTGTTCCAGAGGGTGACAATTAACTCTGATTGGTTAACAATTAATGTAAGAATTAATATTACAATGAGGGGCTGGACCTGAACTTTGATAACATCATCTACTTCCAAGTTACCCCCAGCCTTGGGCAATCTATTCAAAGAATTTATCCCCACCTAAACATGAGTAGAACACAATGGCTTCCCCACCTAGGTAGGGTCTGGATAGAAGAGAAGGTTAGCTCAACTTTCAGACTGAGGTCCTGAAATGAGGATAAAAGAAAAAGAGGGAAATCTGAATTTCCCCAAATCACTGGTTATTAATAATCATGTCTCTCAATGACTTGTCTGGGGTCACATAGCTAGTTAATATCTGAGGTCAGATTTGAACTTAGGAAGAGCTAATCACTGCACCAGCTAGTTGCCCTAATTCATGATCTTAGGTGTTTTTAAATACTATGCCTGTGTTCCCAAAGAGATAAAAAAAAAATTCACTACCTTTTTTATTGCTGAGTCTTTCAGTTTAATTTCTATCTGGGTAGGAATTCTTTCAGTAATAGCCCTGAAAAGTGATCACTCAGTCTCCCTGAAGACCTCCAATGACAGTGAACTCATTATCTTACAAGGCAGCCCATGGCTATTAGAATAATGCCTGTGGTGCTATAAGATTTGAAAAAATGCCTTCCTTTTTAATTTTTTAAAAAATTAAAAAAATTTTTTCTTTATTTTTAGGCAATTGGGGTTAAGTGACTCTCCCAAGGTTACACAGCTAGTAAGTGTCAAGTGTTTGGTCTGAAGTCAGATTTGAACTCAGGTCCTCTTGACTCCAGGGCTGGTGCTCTATCCACTGCACCACCGAGCTGCCCCCAAAAATGCCTTCCTCATGATCTCCAGTGCTTAGCCCAGTCCTAGCACATAGTAGGTGCTTAATAAATGCTTATTGATTGATTGACATCCCTTTGAAGTAGGGGGTATTACTATTATCTACATCATATCATTTTAAAAAATCATTTTCTCATTTGACAAATGAGAAACTGAGGTCAGAGAAATTAAGAGGACAGTCTAATGGTCACAAACAGCTAATAAGTATTAGAATTGAAACTCAAAACTATTTCTCTCCTGACTCCATGTCCTTTCTTGCTGTCCTACGTGGACTCTACTTGTCAGAAAATTCTTCTTGATCTTGGGCTGAAATCAGTACAACTTCTCCATAATAAATAGCCCTTCAAATATTGGAAGTGAGTCATCCTATCACCCTCTTCCCTCAAGTCTCCTGTTGACCAGGCACAAACATCCCACCTTCTTAACTGATGTCCAGACAGCATGTTTTTGAGTCTCCTCATATTGCTGGTTGAATCTCCTCTGAATGTGCTCCAGCTTATCAATGCCTTGTTCATAATGGCATTCCAGTGTCTCGTGATTACCTAACAGGACCAAATAGAAAGTGCTTTTTTGGGCATTTAATGTTCTTCACAACCTGGCCTCTTCCTCCCTTTCCAGTCTTCTTAGACTTTGCATCCCACCATTGACTCTGGGGTCCAGCCATTCTTGTTCTTCTTCTCCCCAACATTCATTTCCCATCTCCGGGATTTTGTACTGGCTCACTCTCTATACCTTCACTCCTTGACATTCCTGCCTTTTTTCAACACTCAGCTCAACTGCCACCTTCGTCTGCAGGAGGCTTTCCCAGTTTCCCCAACTCCTTGAGCCTTCCCTTCCATGTCATCTCTCCCATTAGTATGTAAGCTCCTTGAGGACAGGGACTATTTTTGTGTTTTTGCCTTTCTTTGTATTCCTGGTGCTTAGTAGTTCCTGGCCCCTAATAACGATTACTTGATCACTTATTGTTGATCAAGTGATTGATGTGGTCTGATCAAGATTCGATTCAGGCAAGATGAAATAGATAGAGCCCTGGCCATGGAGTCAGAAGGCCTGAGTTTAAATTCTAGCTTTGCCATTTACTAGCAGGATAACTGAAAATTCTGGAAATAGGGGAAATTCTGGCAGAGAAAGTAACGGACAGTAAGAACCAGGCAGAGTGTAGAAGGGGAGGGAAAACAGAGGGGAAATGAAGATAACATAATCCTATTCATGTGTCCTGTGTCAAGTTATCATCTTCACATCTATAGATGAGAGTATTGGATCACAAGATCTCTATGGTCTTCTCTACAGATAAATCTACAGCTATAGGACCTATCACCTCCCTTAGCCTTACTCATGCAGGCTATGATGGCTCAAAACATGTGCCACAAATAGTTTTCCTAATAACTGCCCATATGTACACCCTTTTGGTGGAAGGTAGTTTCCCAACAACAGGACAAGTAGGATAAGTGTATTAACACCATGTTTGTAGATTGAAGACACTGAAGTTGAGAGAGAGGAGGCAACCTGTCCATAACCCTGCCTCCAATAAATGGCAACGTCAGAATTGGAACTCAGACCTTCTGATTCGATGGCCAGCCGGCGCTCTTTCTATTTCATCATGATCTGCCTGAATTTGAATTAGATTAAGCCAAACTCTTGGCGACAATGCATGTGTGCGAATTGAGGTAGGGTATTAATCAGTGTACGATCTCATCACATGGAGGAAAGTACTGACCTGTGTTTTCTTTTTTTATCTAATCCCCTAGACTTCTCCACAACTTGTTTGGCTGAAGACAGCAGCCCCAGGCATGAACAATAAAAGGCTCACGGGCACTGTGCCAGGACGCTTGCTGGGGGCTGCAGAGAAGACTACTCGGTCAAGTGTGCTGCTTCCCTGGCTACCCATCTGGGACATTCCTCACTACCATATCTGCCAGGAACCAGAAGATCCTTGTCAACACTTTTGAAGACCAACTCCAAGCCTGACTCCCCCGGGTCAAGTTAGTGGGGTTGGTGGGGGGTTTGCAGGGGACAGGAAGAGACCCTTTCATCTTTATTTTGCCTGAAGCTGCTTTTTCTCCCATCCTACTTATGTCCTCTAGCTTTTGCCTCTCATGTACTTCCTGATGGTGACTACCTTGAGGTTAAAAGTGGTAGGATTTCCTTAAGGTAAAGAGTCAGGAGAGCCTGCCAGCCCCACTCCCGCCTCCCCCCTCCCAGAACCACCGATGATCTGTATTAAAGAGTTTATGAACCACATCTTCCTACCTTTGTGTGCGAAACCCTCCAGCAGAGCAACATGTCTGGGTCAATTTGGGGGAATGTTATACTTTTCTTGGTTTGAATCTTCATTCATAAATTTGGGGACCCCCTACCTTCTAGAAAAAACATATTTCTCTCCTCTCAGAAGGTGGATTACAGATATGGAATGCTGTATACAGCGAGTCACAGTTGATAAGTGTTTGTTTTGCCGAAGTGTTTTTTTTTTTTGTTTGTTTGTTTGAAGGAGGAGTCGGGGAAGGGAGGAAATGTCACAAGCCAGAGTTCTGTTAGCTGTAATTACTGGAAAGTGACAATGATGTAAAAAAAAAACAAAAAATTAAAAAATAAAACCTTTTTAAAAAGCAAAAAAGATGTGGTCCGTTTTTTTAAAATTTCATTTTATTTTCAGTTCCAAATTCTGTCCCCCTCCTTCCCTCATTTCCCACCCATTGAGAAGGCAAGAAAAACAAAATCCATTACAAATATGTATAGTCATGCGAAACAAATCTCTGCATTAGCCATGTCCAAAAACAGAAAGAGAAAAAGAAAAAAGAAAAGAAAATATGTTTTCATCCGCCCTCTTGAGTCCACCAGCTCTCTATCTGGAAATGGATAGCATGTTTCATCATGTGTCCTCTGGAATTGTAGTTGGTCATTATGTTGATCAGTTACTAAGTCTTTCAGAGTTAATTATCTTTATAACATTGTTGTTATTGTATAAATTATTCCTCTGGTTCCGCTTACTGCACTCTACATTAGTTCATGGAAGTCTTGACAAATTTCTGAAACCATCCTATTCATTGTTTCTTATATCGCAAGAGTTTTCCGTCACATTCGTACCATAACTTATTCAGCCATTCTCCAGCTGATGGGCGTCCCCTCGGTTTCTAATTATTTACTATTAAAAAAAGAGCCGCCATAAATATTTTAATATGTATGGGATCTTGTCCTCATTTTTTGATCGCTTTGGGGTATAGATCTAGTAGTGATATCAATGGATGGGGAGGATACACACAGTTTAATAGCTTTTGGGGCATTTTTGATGTGGTCTGTGGTTGAAAAAAATATCTATTTGCTAGCCAGCTTAGGAGACTGGCACAATTTCTTACCTGAAAGCACACTGTCCATAATCTATCAAAGGAAAGTTTTATTAAAAGGAAAGAAGAAGCAATAAGTAAATTATAGTATTTCCACGTCTGACAAGTTCACATATTCAGTGTCCCCCAAGGTACATTAGTGCTTATTATGCTGTAAGAGATAATGAAAGGGATGCTTTTAGAGAAATGAGAAAAGATTTGTGTGAACTGATGCGTGAACTGACGTATGAACTGGGCAGAACTAGGAGAACAATTTATAAAATAACAGAAATATTGTAATGACAAACAACTTGGAAAGACTTAGGAATGCCAATCAACACAATGACCTACCACAATTCCAGAGGACTGAAGATGAAACACGAAAACCACCTCCTTAGAGAGAGGTGATAAACTCAGAGATTAGATTGAAGTATATTTTGAGGGGACATGTCCAATGCTTGTTTTTTGCTTGACTATACATATTTATAACAGGGGTTTTGTTTTCCTTGTTTTCTCAGTGGGGGAGGAGGAGATATATGGGAGAGGGAGATGTAGAGCTGAAGATAAAATTTATTAAAAAAAAAAAAGCCTGTGTTCCTATCCTTGTTGAGGCAAGGTTACAATCAATGGAAAAGCACTTATTAAGCACCTACTATGCACCAGGCACTGTGCTAGGAATTGGGAATACAAAGACAAAAATGAAACAGTCCTTGCCCTCAATGAGCTTACATTCTAATGGAGGCAATCAGTACATATATACTTATATAACGGATAAATATAAAGATATAAATGATAAATATAAAGTTGTTAAAAGATGGAGGTAGTTTCAGGGGGAGGGCATTATCAGGGAGATAAGGAAAGACTAATGTAGAAGCTGCTTCTACATCAAGGGAAGAAGAAAGGGACTTTATGAGGAAGAGGTGAGATGGCCAGTGCATGTGGAAGGGCCAGTGCAAAGGCAAGGAGATGAAAGATGGAGTACCCTGTATGGGGAAAAGAGAGAAGGCCAGTTGGATTGGATCTCTGATTGTGGGAGGGGGAATAATCTCCAGGTAGGTTAGAAAGACTGGGGTCAGATTGTAAAGGGCTTTAAAGTCTAAAAAGAGGAGTTTATACTGTATCCTAGAGCCTTCTGATCTGGTATTTGTCTGGTCAGTCACAGTCAGACACACTGTACCTTGACCTCAGCATAGTGGTGCCATCTTGGTTCTCTTCGAGAACGAACACCAACCAACCAAGCAGAGGCAGCAAGGAGCCAGTGGAGTTGGTTGGGTAGGGGAGTGAGATGGTCAGATCTGGACATGAGGCAAATCGCTCCGGCAGTAGCAGCATGTGGGATGGACCGGAGGGGTGAGAGGCAAGGAGACTGGTTAAGACGCTGTTGCAATGGTCTAGATGAGAGATGATGAGGGCCTGAACTAAGGTGGCAGCTCTGTGAGTGAACTGGATGCACGGGGTGGCGGGGGAGAGGCAGGAGTCAAAGACAGTGCTTAGGTCATGAACCTCAAGGAATGGATGGTAGTGCCTTTGACGGAAGCAGGAAAGTTGAAAGAGAGGAGAGTTTGGGGGAAAGATGAGATCGGGTTTGCTCAGTTTAGTTACAAGTCTCCTCTGCAGAGCTCACAGGTCTAGCCGTGAAGTTTGAGGACAGGGATTCCCCCTTGGTTGTGGCACCCTGTCCACACCCAGTGAGACTCATGCATCAGACCTACAACTCTGTCCCATCAGTTCCATGAGAGTATCCAACAGAGATTCTGGTGGCTTGCGGGATTGAAATTTCTCCCTAAATTGAATAACCTTTCTGTTTTTCAACATTAAGGTTGGGTGACCCTTCCTACTGGTCTAGAGGCTAAGGTGCCTCAACTCCTCTCCAATCCACTCTCCTCGCTCACTTGTGTCGTTTCAGTCGTGTCTGACTCTTCGTGACCCCATTAGGAGTTTTCTTGGCAGAGATACTGGAATGGTTCGCCATTTTCTTCTCCAGCTCATTTGACAGATGAGGAAACTGAAGCAAACAAGGCTGAGTGACTTGCCCAGGGTCACACAGCTAATATGTGTCTGAGGCCAAATTTGAACTCACAAAAATGAGTCTTTCTGACTCCAGGTCTAGTATTCTCTCCACTGAGTCACCTAGCTGCCCCGCTAGTGGGCTGGTATAATTATATGGAGATTAATAATTAGTGGAGATGATTAATAATTAATTTTATTTATAAATATACATAATTATGTATTAATATGAATAATTAATGGAGATAAACCTCTACCCAATGTGATTTAAATACCCCAGCCATTTAATGGTATTTAAATATCACTGGGTGGAGGTCTATCTCATTAATAAGTGTACCTGTCTTTGGGATTTTCCATTGAGAGTAAGAATCAGATAAAGCCTGATTACATTTATGTTAGAGGCAGCTAGGTGGTGAAGTGGAGAGAACACTGGGCTTGGAAGTTCAAATCTGGTTTCAGACACTTGCTAGCTGTGTAACCCTGGGTAAATTACTCAACCTTGTTTGCCTCAGTTTCTTCATCTGTAAAATGGGCTGGAGAAGGAGATGGGAAACCACTCCAGTATCTTTGCCAAGAAAACCCCAAATGGGGTCACGGAGAGTTGGACACAACTGAACAACACAACAACATTTACATTAACTGAAATAGAATGTCTTAGAACTCTCATTGGGAAGAGAAAAATAGCCCCTGAAAAGGGGACTTCCGACAGAGGGACAGGTCTATTTCAGCATTCACATCAATAATAAATGTTTATTGACTATCAAGTACCAAGATGGCAGATGATCAGGCATTGGTAGAATCAGGGCTGGTTGCCTTGTCCTTATGCTTCTGGAGAGGAGATGTTACTGCAGAGGACTATGGGTAGGCTAGACCTTGCTACCCTAAAGGACTATGAGAAATTTCCATTCCCATGAGAACCCTTTCTGCCAGTAGCTGGAACAACAGAACATCCCTACTCAAATTGCCACAAGTCAATTATTTGCAAATACGTAACTTTTTTCTCAGAGTATTCCCAAAACTCCCACTTACTGCTGAGCTTCACTATTTTGTATGCCTTCATTAATCTCCCAACTTTGTACCACCCTCATTTAATTTTTCTGTGTTCTCAAAAGATTAAAAATTCTTCAGCTATAATTAGCTCAGTTCATTTGGCTAAGACATCTGGTTAGTGTGTCCATGATCTGGGACTTTCCTTTCGGCCACAAGTGATAAAAACGCCTTGGCAAAGTCAGAGAATGCAGAGTGGTAAATGAATCCTCAACAATTTTGGAGCTGTTACATCAACAGATATAACTGTGGGGAGGAGCTGTTTTCCCACATCAACATTCCAGGGCCCATCTTGGTGAGGGCTAGATTCCTTCCTAGGCTGCCTCAATTGGACTGCCAAAAAATTCAAGTATGGCTTGGTCAACACATTCTTCTGAAAAGGATCCCAGTATAAGCACCAGCCCTTAAGTCAGGAGGACCTGAGTTCAAATACAGCCTCAGACCAAACACTTGACACTTATTAGCTGTGTGACCCTGGGTAATTCACTTAACCCCAATTGCCTAAAAAAGAAAAGGGCCCCAACAGATCCCTGTTGGGATTTCCCTCTTTTATTTATAGCACTCAATGTAAGCTGGTTCTGGCTTTTGAGGGTGGTGCTTCCAGTTTGAAGCTAGCTTGTGATGTCAGTACTTGGTATGTTTTTATTAACTGTTTGAGATGTATAATAATAATAGCTAGCATTTATATAGCACCTGCTATGTACCAGGAACTGTGCCAAGTGCTTTACAAATATTATCTCATTTGATCCTCCCAACACCTCTAGGAGGTAGGTGCTATTATTATCCCCATTTTACAGGTGAGGAAACTGAGGCAAACAGAGGTTAAAGTGACTTGCCCAATGTCACAGAGTGCCTGTCACATAGTAGGTGCTTAATAAATTGATAGTGTCTGAGGCCAGATTTGAATTTAGGTCTTCGTGATTCCAGGCCCACACCTCTATCCACTGTGCCACCTCGATCCGTTGACACAGGGTTTTGATGTGTCTGTCTCTGGTGACTGCATTTAGGTGAATTTGGCTTGCAGGGGTCTTGACCCTTTGTGATGCGGTGGCTTTGGTATTCACTGAAGGTCTTAAGATGTGAGTTTAGTTGCACTCTGGTCTCTTGGAAAGCTGCAGGCTTTCTTGTCTTGACAATGGTGATGTCTGTTAG